ATCTCAACAAAGCAAGGTACCATGCGTTTGACAACTTCGAGAAATTAATTTTGCCAATAGTCACGTGAGCATAGTCACATGAACATGGAACTGGACTTTTGCATCAAAGAGACCTTGATTACAGTCATAGGAGATCCGGAGCAGGCCAGTTAAGCTGGGCAGCTGCTCTTGGACTCCATGGAAACGCCAAACAATGTATATGTATTGTTGTAACCTGAAACTTTTGTGGTTGTTATGCAACAGAAAACTGGTACAGAGCCGCAGTTTCTTACCTCCCATGGCCTAATGTTTGCCTCATCTTGCAAATAGGATAATAGTCTCCCCTTTGAAAGGTGCTTATGTTGGTCAAGCATGGTGGCTCATCCCTCTAATCCCAGCACTGGAGAAGCAGAGGTGTGGGGGTCTCTTTGGGTTCCATGCCAGCCAGGGCTATCATGAGAGCCTGCTTCTGTACCCTCCCACCCCCAAAACAAAGCAAGAGCAGCGGCAGCAGGTCCGCAGGAAGTGGTTGCTATAGGTCAGATCCCAGAAAAAGGCCTTCACCTATAGTAGTTTATGAACCAGAGGCTGCCAAGTCCCATTTACAGGATCAGAAACTAGGGCTTGGAGATCTTAAATAACTTGAGCCTGCTAAGTTCACCCAGCTGACGCACGTGGCTTTGACTCCAGGATTGCCGCCTACTGGATCCAGCTACAACTGGAACCGCTTTTCTTCACCTTAAGACACCTCTGAAAATATATGTGGATGGCAGTGTGAAGAGACTATAAATACAAGTACATAGTAAATACATACAATATATGTGTGCCCAGGCATAACTGTGGGCAGCGTACCCCATCAGACTAACAGCTAAAGTCGGAGAGAAGGGGCTCATGGATGAATTCGGTGGGGATGGGCTTTACCTTAGTACCCCACACTCCCTATATTTTGACAAGGTATCATTTAGATCAGCTTGGCCTTGAACTCACTATGTACCTAGAAGATGTCTCTGAATTTCTTTTGTTTGTGAGTTTTTTTTTTTTTGCGATTTTTGTTTTGTTTTGTTTTTGTTTTTCGAGACAGGATTTTGCTGTCTTGGAGCTTGCTCTGTAGACCAGGCTGGCCTCGGACTCCTAAAGATCCTCCTGCCTCTGCCTCCTGAGTGGTGCTGGGATTAAAAGGGTGTGCCACACCACTCTCCACCCGGCCACCTTGAATTTCTAAAATCCCTGATTCTAACCCCTGATTCTGACTCAGCCTCTTGAGTGCTAGGATTGCAGGCACGTGCCAACACGCCTGCTTTATGTGCCTTTGTGCAGGCGGGGCAAGTACTAAACCAACTGAGCTACAGTCCCAGTCCCTTCCCCCCACTCCCTGCTAAAATACTCTTTAACTGGGGTTAATTCATGAGAAACTTAGCCACAAGGCTCTGCCTTCCCCAGAATTTTGTTCGCACTTCTACCCCAGAACCCCCACCCACCGCAAGCAGCCAGCTGTAGCAGGTGTTTGCCACTTTACCCACTAAAAGTGTCACTGTGTTGCCACTACCCTTCCTTCATCCCTTTGGGGGGTCTGGAACAGAGCCAAACCTGACTAGGAGAGAGAGAGAAGGAGGGAGAAGGAGAAAGAGGGAGGAGAGGGAGGGAGAGAGGGAAGAGTAGCGTATATATAGGACTGGCCCTAGACAAAACCTGTAGATATTGTGGCGCTGATTTTACTTCCCCATTCTTTTCTCCCTTGACATCTTCATGGTCTATGATCACAGACATCCACATCCTCCCCAGGGAGGGAAATGTCTGAAAATTGCACCATGCTGTTGTTCTAAGTAATTTCTCTTTGCAGAAAACCTAATTCAACAGAAACAAAAGCCAGACAAGTAGCCCAAGGTCAGTCCTTAACCAGGGAGACTATTTCATGAACAGTGGGGCTTCAGCCATTGTGAGAGATGGGGAACTGGAGGTTGGGGACCAGATGTCTGTCTTGTCCTCCCTTTGGGCCTGCACCTCCCACTCTGTTCCACCTCCAACACACACATTGCATCTGTAGCCTAGTGTGGTACGACAGCTAAGGGAACCTCGGAACCCCATGCTTTGTGTTAGGAGTGCAGGTCAGGCTGTGCCATCAACCAGCTATACCAACTGAGCTACAGTCCCAGTCCCCTCCTGTAGCCTCAGTTTACCCTTTTCCAAGAGGGGGAGAGAATGAGTACTAAGGTAGTACAACTCCTGACTTTTTGTTGGAGTCATACGGGAGGTTTGTCAACAGTACAGATGGTCAGCCCCCTCTCCACAGAGATTTCAATCCAATTGATCTATGGGATGGCCTAGGAAGGATATGTCTGTTTGTCTGTCTGTCTAACTGAGACAGGGTTGTTCTATGTAGTCTTGACTGTCCTGGAACTCACTATGAGATCTGGTTGCCTCTGCCTCCAAGTGCTGGTACTAAATGCATTTGCTACCACATCCACTAAGGGCAGCTAATTTTTACAACTAAGCTGAGTCTAGTGAAGTAAGCAGACCCATGAGTGGGCTTTAGAGACTTCGTAAATTTCTTGGAAATATGTAGAACTGACCGTGTAAACCTGCAGAGAGCTCCAAAGACATGAAAAAGATTTTCTTGAAGGATTCCATCACCTTTTCACAGCAAACTGTTTGTGAGTGAAACAGTGCCACCTGGTGGTTTTTCTTTGCACTTGCAAGCCATTATCTGGCAATGCAATCCAGTTCCTTTTAACATGGAGCCCCAATTTATTGTGCAAGGCATTGTGTTACAGAGGGATAAACAAACAAATGATAACCCCATTTCCATATGGACCTCACAGACTAGAGAGGACAACCCAGTACAGGATTGGTAGAATACAAACTTGGTAGAATACAAGATGGAAGCTGTGGCTAGGGCTGGCTTCACGAGTGTGTGAAGCCCTTAGAACAACTCTGTCTGGCCCTGAGTTCATCATCTCCTGTCTTGAAATTGCTAATAAGATTTGAATTTAGGGGGCTCACAGATTTTCATTTTACACTGGAAAGTTGAGAATTCCTATGGCATTTTCCTGGATCTGGATGGCAGAGCAATGGAGAGAGAGGGAAGGGGGGTTTTGCTGTGGAAGAAGCAATAGGGTCCCCAAGCCTTGATGATGGGATTGCCTGCTGGAGAAGGAGACAGAAGACCCAGTGCTGTGAGGACGACAGGCAAGGAAAGCTTTTGCATCAGAAGATGCAGACTCCAGTCAAGGAGTAACTCCACCATCTGCCCCCGCAGCTGGAACTCAAGACCTTGGAGCCATAGCTCCGAGGTAAGACTTCTAGGTGGGACCATTGGTTATAAGGTAGACAACAGAGCTGCAGGCCTGGGCTTGGGCTCAGACCGGCCTTGGGGCACAGCAGAGAAAGCTCAGTGGGCAACTGAATGGCCCTCGAGCCTTCTTGGTATACTCTGGACTCTCATTTGCCTCCTCCTTGTCTCGGCGTCACCATGGGACGGTGATACAAAGTCTTTGAGGCAGGTACTCACACTGGGGATATAGCTCATCAAAAATGTACCTGCATTTCTTAGCCAAGATTCACTGTCAGGGCCACGTGGGCTTTGAGTAAGCTTCCTCCTTGTCTTTCATGGTGAATTTGAGCTTGTCGATAGTAGATGACAGAAATCAGTGAAAACCAGGCGGGTGGTGGTTAAATGCCTTTAATCCCGGCACTCGGGAGGCAGAGGCAGGCGGATCTCTGTGAGTTTGAGGTCAGCCTGGTCTACAAGAGCTAGTTCCAGGACAGGCACCAAAGCTACAGAGAAACCCTGTATCAGGGGGAGAAAAGAAAAGAATAAGATTATTGAGTCTCTCTCTCACTTTCTCAAGACAGGGTTTCTGTGTGTAACAGCCCTGGGTGTTCTGGAACTCACTCTGTTGACCAGGCCAGCCTCAGACTCACAGAGATCTGCATGCTTCAGCATACCGAGGGCTGGACCTAAAGGCGTGTGCCACCACCACCACCCAGCATGAACAAATCTTATTGTTTTCGTATGGGACTTTCCACACTTGTGGGTGGGAGGTCTTGCAGGAAATGAGCTCTTCCTCCAAGGGCTAAGGAAAGTTCCAGCTCATTAGAGCTTTGAACCCACATTTCAGAGGAGATTTGGCATGCTCAGGGTGGTTTGGCCGGAGACTGAGCCCATGTTTCAAATCAGTTCTCCCCACCAGGCAAGACCAGAGACTGGCCCTCATTGTTGTCTGTCTTCGGTTTCCACAGTCCAAGCCAGGATCCCGCCCACTCTCCTTTTCCATATAAGCCCAGAGCAGGCAGGGAAATGAAAGGGTGACCAGAGAGGGGCTGTCATTCCAGCCATGGCTCCATGCTCAGAGACCCGTTTCTATTGCCTGGTTGTCCCATAACTTCTGTCTGCCTTGGTCTGGGCAAGTTCTGGTCTGAAGAGGCCTTATGTTTGTATCTGCGATATTTTCTTGTGAGTTTCTGGCTGCCAGGGATTTCAGATGGCCACCAGGTTTAGGATGTCTGTTCTCTCCAACAGCATTTCTTCTCTCCAGAGTCCTAAAGATACCTGCTCTATCAGATTCTGAGTTGGACAGAATCTGGGGAGCACCCAGCAGCACCCCATTGCCCCACATCCCCTGCCACAGTTCTTTCTCATTCACCTATACCTGGACTGTAGAGCGATCTTTATCCTCGGGCTGCTTCCTACTGGGCCTGACTTCTGTCCCAGGCCACTGCCCAACTACTAATATTGTGGGCCAGAGATCAAACCCAGTCAAGGGTACCATAGGGTGTGTAGCCAGGGGCTGGTGCCTACCTAGCTCTAAGAGGAACCCTAGATAAGATCAGCGCCCAAGACAAGCTAGCAGTATTCATGTGACTTGTTTTCAAGTGGGGACACAGATGTCTGGAGGGCAAATCCTCTAGGCATGGATCCTCAGCGTCTGTCAAGGACTCAGGAAAGCCAGAAAAAGACAAATAGAGAGGATGGATCTACAAGGTTACAACAAAACAAAACAAACAGGAAACACCTCACACCGTGAAGACAATAGAAGATCACTCTTGATTGACAGTTGAGGCTAGCAAGTGGCCTGAGGACAGGTGAGAAATCTCCCTCCCTCCTGCCCTATTACAGCAAAGGGTCAAGTATGCTCCCTAGGGACAGGTGCAGGCGGGCGTCAGCCGCAGGTGGCGGCGGGGCCTAGCTGGGGCAGAAGAGGTGGAAGTTGGTGCGCGTGAACTCGTGGTGGATGCTTTCGAGAAGCGCGTCTGCATCAGGGGCGGGCTCATGCGCGTCGGGCGGCCGCGGCCGCGCGCTGTATTCCGGGGTGTAGGTGAAAGAGAAGGCGCTGGGGTAGAAGAGCGCATCCGCACGCAGCAGGCTCACGGGCACGGTAATGGGAGTGCGCAGCCAACGCCAGTCGCTGCCGAAGGCCGCCACGTCTGGCACCACGCACACCAAGGACCGCGGGCTTCTGTGGGTAGGACATGGAGGAGAGCTTGACAAACATTCCAACCTCTGAGCCTTGGGGCCAAGCTGTCCTCCTCCTCTCCCCCTCCCCGCTCCCCGCCATCGGTACCTGAACATAGTTTCTGCTTCCACGTCTCCAAACCACACCTTGAGCCCAGCGTGGAAATTCTCTCCGTGCAGTTCCAGCGTGGCCACATCACCTCCGCCGCTTAGCTGGGGGTGGATGGGACCAGATGTAGGTGACTGGGGAAGGTATGTGTGGGGGGTTAGAGGTGGGAGCCTCCCGATTCCCAGGGCGGGCAGGCCACTCTGCAGTTCACCTCCAGAGTGCTGATGAGGGGCACTGGAGTGACAGGTTCCCGGGTACAGGCCAGGCTGGTGCTGAAGGAGAACTCCACCGACTCGGTGCCAATGATGGTCCAGCAAGAGCTGTCGTTGAGCAGCGCCCTGTTGGCCTCCTTGGGGCAGAGGGAAGCCTGAAGGGAGGTCCAAAAGATGGAACTGAAGTTTCGCTAGTGGTTCAGCCTTATTAAGTTTCCCTCCTAAGCCTTCCGGTTTATCTGCTCCAGGGAGCTTGAGTGTGATCCTCACACTGCACTGGATATATATATCCAAACCCATTCTTTTTTTTTTTTAACAATATTTTTTATTTATACTGTGTACTTATATGTGGATAAACGCACACGCGTGCGCGCTTGAGTATCAGTGTGGAGAATCTTCCTCAATTGCTCTACACTTTATTTTTGAGACAGTCTGTCAATTGAAGTTGAAGTTGGTTCATTTAGCTAGATTGGCTAACAAAAGCCCTGGAATGCTCCTGACTCTGCCTCCCAGGTTCTGAGGCTACAGGTGTGAGCCACCGTGTTCAATTTTTAAAAATAGATGTGAGTGCTAGGGTATTGAATTCAGGTGCCAGAGTTGGCACAACAGGTACATTACCAACTAGCCATTTCCCCAGCTCCCTTAGAGAACACTACATCCTTGAACCAGCTTAGTTTCTCTCTCTCTCTCTCTCTCTCTCTCTCTCTCTCTCTCTCTCTCTCTCTCATATTTTTTGAGACAGGGTTTCTCTGTGTAGCTTTTGGAGCCTGTCCTAAAACTAACTCTGTAGACCAGGCTGGCCTCGAACTCACAGAGCTCTGCCTGCCTCTGCCTCCTGATTACTGGGATTAAAGGTGTGTATCACCATCACCTGGTGAACCAGTTTAGTTTCTAATAACCTAGTTTTCTTTTTTTTCTTTTATTTTCTTCCCCCCCCCTCTCTCTTTCTTTTTCTTCTTCTTCTTTGAGACAGGGTGTCTCTGTGTAGTCCTGGTTGTCTTGGAACTCACTCTGTTAGCCAGGCTGGCCTTGAACTCAGAGATCTGCCTGCTTCTGCCTCCTGGATGTTGAGATTACAGATGTGCGCATCATCTGGCTATAATTATTGTTTTCTATATTTTATGATTCTATATACTAACATTCTTGAATAATATTTTTTGGAAGAAATATTACTTAATAATTATTGTTTTCCACACTGTATAATTTTTGTGCCTTGACATCCTATAACTTTGTTCAGTAATAGTCAATGATATTTCTTACTATGATTTTGTTTATATTCTGCAATTTTTTCTTTTTATGTATGTATAGGTGAACCTGTGTGTGACCTTCAGAGGCCAGAAGAGGGTGTCAGATCCCTTAGAGCTGGAGTTACAGGTGGTTGTGAAGTTGTGGCCCACTATGTGGGTGCTGGGACTTGAACTTGGATCCTCTGGAAGAGCAACAAGTTCTCTCACCTACTGAGCTATCTCTCCAGTTCATATAGTCTGCAATTTCATATCCCAACATCTAAAAGCCCTTGGGAAGGGGTCCTGTTTACTAACAGTAATTACAGTGCTTTTCTACATTCTGTGACTCTAATCTTTCATGGATGGCACTGTTGCAGGAGAAAGAGCCACCTTTGTAGACAAGACCTTACATCCTACGGCCTCTGTATTCTTCCTAATGTGCTCGATAGCCTCTGTTTCTCACCTGGAACCACACCACCTTCTCTGTGGTAAGGCATAAGTAGGTGCCACCCCCTCCTGGAGTGTCACCCGGAAACTGGAATGCGCACTTGTGCAGCTGTGATATGGGTTCATCCACGTCAAGGAGGGCACACTGCTTGGCTACTTTGCGGATGATCTGCAGCAGAGGGGTGTCAGGAAGAGGGGTGGCAAGGTGCGGGGTTCCCCAGAGGCTGGCTGCTCTCCTAGCCAGGCAGTTCTATTCTGATAGCCATGAGGTCACGGGCACACTCCCATGAAGCACTAAGAGAGAATCGGTGTCTTTAGACCTTCAGGCCTCACCACCCCCTGCCCTACCCACAGGGGCCACACTTCTGTACTGATCTGTGGTTACCCGTGTGGACACAGAGTCCATTCTCATACCATCGGAGGCAGTGTGACGCCCGTGACTGTACAGACGAGCTGCACTAGGGAGCCATAGCGGATGTAACCTTCCTGGGGCCGAAAGTCTCCTTGGGGACGGTGCTCGTCAGCTGGAGATGAAAGAAAGGGACAAAGGCTTCAGAACTTCTGCCCCAAATCCTGGCTTGGTGTCACACCACAGCTGGCCACGGCGGAAGAAGCGAAGACTAGGGATCTAGTCCTGGAGAAGTAATCTGCAGTCATCCCCACAAAGGTGTGCTCCCTGGGCCAGCCACTTACTGGCTTGAGGGGAAAGGGCATAGCCATAGGGATTAGAATAAAGTGGGGGAATCTAAGGCGGTGTGTGTGGGGGGCAGACCTTTGTCCTCCCCTCCCAAGGCTCAGTTACACTGGTTTACCTTCCTGAAGCGTTGATTAAATATGCTAACACACACGGAGCCCCCAGCCCGCGCCTGCTCTATGATTACCCAGGTGGAGTGTGAAGGCAGCCCACTGTCTTGCGCTGGCCACAAAGGCCCCGTCTTCCACAGAGAGGTAGCGTGTGGACACTGTCTGGGAGCGCAGGCGGTTGAAAAGGGAGACCTTGGAGCCCGAGGAGATGCACACTGTGAGGGGAATGGGATCAGCGCCTTGGCCTCGTGTGGTCCCGGTCTCCCCAGATGATCTCCTGTCCTTGGTGACAGCCTGCCTGCTCTGCCCACTGGCCTGGACACGATGGGGGTTGGAATCTCCCAGCCGTTTAGCTAGGGCCCGCTCTAGTTCTGCTTCTGAGCTTGCCAGCTCCCCGGTGTGACGGGACATCCTTCAGTTCAGTGGGCTGAGTTCATCAGGTCACTCAGGGCCTGCTTGGCCGTAGGTACTGTGCTGGGAGCTGATGGTGTGCACCGGGCCCAGCTTTGCGCTGAGGGAGTTCATGGGTCTTCATAGAGGACATCAATACCAAATGCTAACACTAGGCTGAGTTCAGGAGGCCTCCTGGGGCCAGGAAGTGTGAAGCAGGTAGGAGTGGCACAGGCGGTCGGCCTCTCAGCACAGATCACGTGTATGAAAGAACAGGAATTTTTCGAGAGCTCAGTGTGTCTTCCAGCCTATGGCATGTGCTCAGAGACCCAGCTTTATTTTCTCACTGACTTAGACCAGTCAGGGATATGGCCTGGGCAGTGTCTTCCGACTCTTGGCACGCCATTGATACCTAGTCCAGGCCTTCTTCCATTGAATATATTATACAATAGGTCCGTCTGTCCTTCCTCCCTCTCTTCCTTCCTTTCCTTTTTCTATATGTGTGTGCACATGTGTGGGTGGGTGCACACACCTGTGTGTGCGTGTGTGTGTTACTCTCCACCTTATTTTCTGAGACACAGGTTCTCACTGGATTGAGAGCTTACCATTTTTCTAGAACTTTCTGACTAGAGAGCCAAGGAGGATCCCCCCTCCCTACTTGCTCAGTGCTGGGGTCACAAGTCACATTCAGCTTTTATGGGGACCCAAATTCAGACCCTGCTGCTTGTGTTTAAGCACTTCACCCAACAAGCCGTCTCCCCATGTCTCCCCATCCTTTACTTTTCTAAATATGTGTATCAACTCAATTGATTCTCTTATTTCCGGCTAAGGGATCAGTCTGCCGAAGATCAGGCAGCTAACAAACTTCAGGGCAGGGTTCAACCCAGACTGCCAGATTTTACACGATGTCACCATGCCATTCATGTTTCCTGAATATCAAGGACCACCTAGAACACTGCTTGGATCTGGGACACAACTTTCTTAAGGTCATTTTTAATTGGCCCCAGGTCTGGCACCTGCCTGCAGATGTTATCTGTTCTTAGCTGTGCCCCTCCCCCATCCTCAAATCTGGTGCCTCTTCTCTTTCCTGCATCACGTGGGAGATCTCCATGTGCGTTACTTTTCTCTTGGTCTTGGCCAGCCACTTACCCCCCCAGACTTCTCCCTTCTTTCTACTCAGACTCCACCTCTCCCCCTGACTCCACCCCTGCACCCTCCTCCCAACTTCACAGCTCTGGATTTGAATGGCACCCTCCCACTCCACCCCCTCTCACGGTCTGTATTTTTCAGCGACTGCTTCTTCTGTGAGGGCTTGGAGATCACCTTGATGAGGCGACTATGGAAGGTGCCCAGCTCCCGGCCTCCTCGCAGCACAAGCCGCAGCACTAACCGGAAGTGCTTCCTCTTGTCAGCGTCGGAGATGTACAGGGTCTTGGCACAACCAAATTCCTACGGGACTCATGGGGATGGGGCCCGTCTTATTTCAACTCTCTGCCAACGGATGCGCCAACCTCCCGCAGTTATGACATCCGTCCCATCAGAGAAGACAAGAAGCCGTACTAGCTAGGTTCTGGATCAGAATCCACCCTCTGGCCTCCCCACTAGTAATCTCTTGGCTTCTGGAGAGGACTTAGGAGTTCTCCTTTGCAAAGAAGAGGCAAGAACTGGATATTCTCTCATTCAGTCTCACCCTTGAGTCCGGCTGCTCTTCGAAATTCAACTTCTGCGTCTCAGGAGCATTGCCGGACGCGCCGTCCAGTCCCATGTAACCGCAGACCGTGGGTCCGGTCTCCGCAGACTGGTGGGCTAGAAAATGACGGGAATTAACCCTAGAAGGATTGGGGAAACTCAGGTACCAGTCAAACTTAGTTCTTGCCGCCAGAGGGAGCAACGAGACTGCCACTGCAAACGGCTGGTTTCCAGGACCCTGCTGAAATTAGTTCGTCCTACCTGCTGAGAACAGTCCCCGAGGGCAGGCGTTCTCACCTTGGTCTTGCAGCGGTTTCACCCTCCAGCCTGGACCGGCGAGGTAGACACAGGGCGGAGGACAGAAGAACCTGGGAACACGTAGAGAACTGGATATATTATTTCCACCGTCTCGAAAGTATCTCAAAGGGATATAAACCCAAAGAATCATAATTCCCTCTCCTCCCCTAATCGAGTGAATTCCTTTAACATAGAACATTCTTTTGTTTATTAAACCCTGTTAGTCCGGCCCACTCCATCTTCAGAACATATCTGGAATCCGTTGGCTTCCTACCACCTCTACCTCGGTCCTAACTGCTACCTCCTGCCTTCCCCACTCTCAGCCTTGCAACTCTCTTTCCCTTGTCACTGCCCCTCTTGGAACTTGTTTTACACACAGTAACCAGATTACTTCTTCTTTTTCTCCTTCTCTTTCTCCTTCTTCTTTTCTCGAGACAGAGTTTCTCTGTAGGTTTGGAGCCTGCCCTGGAACTTGCTCTGTAGACCAGGCTGGCCTCGAACTCACAGAGATCTGCCTGTCTCTGCCTCCCGAGTGCTGGGATTAAAGGCATGTGCCACCACTGCCCATCTACCAGATTACTTCTTACGGCTTGGCAGATAAAATGCTTGCCAGGGCAAATCTGACAACCTGAGTTCAATCCCCAGAACCCACTGAAAGGTGGAAGAAGAGAACCAACTACACAACGTGGTCCTCTGACCTCCACACGAGTTGTGGCATCCACACATACACACAGTAACAACAACAATGAAAATAACAGTCAAGGGGCAGGAGAGACAGCTCAGAGGTTGTCTGAGGTGTTGGCTGCTTTTCCAGAGGTCCTGAGTTCAATTCCCAGCACCACAACCATCTATAATGGGACCCTATGCCCTGTTCTGGTGTGCAGGCATGCATGTAGACAAAGCACCCATAAACATAAAATATGTAAATAAATAAACCTTAAAAAGACAGTTAAACTAAATTGGGTTTGGTGGCTCATGCCTGTAATCCTAATCCCGGCACTGGGCACTGAAGGGGATGGGGCCTGAGACAGGAGAATCACTGTGGGTTCAAGTATAGCCTGAGTTATAAAGCCAGAGTCTGTCTTATTACTCCCAAATATAAACAAATTAAGCAATATTATTAATAATGATGGAAACATGAGTCAGATTATGATATTCCATATTAGTGGTTTAAAATCCCAAGTCTTCACATGACCTGGGCACTTTCTGCTTCTCCTGTTTATTTCCTGCAACACCCCCCCCCGCCCCATTCAGTCTGTCTCTGTCTGTCTCTGTCTGTCTGTCTCTGTCACTCTCTCTCTCTCTCTCTGACTCTCTCTGTCTCTGTCTCTCTCTCTCTGTCTCTGTCTCTGTCTCCTACAGGACTAGCTGTCCTGTGACTAGTGGCTTTGAGGCCCTTGTGTTTTCTGTTCCTTCTGTTTGGAATGCTTGTTGGAGATTTTTCAGGTCTGACTCCATTTCAGTACTGGTACCCCATTTCTGATGTCACTTCCTAAAGAACCTTTGACCCCCTTGACCTTTCAAGCTAGGCTCCCCGACTCTGGTTTCTGCTATCTGACCCTTCTCTGTTTTCCTTGTAGCTCTCATCACAATCTAAAGTATCCTGTTTGCTGATTTGTGGGGAGGTAACTGCCTCTTCCACATTGGAGTGAAGATGCTATGTATCAGTCTTGTGCAGCTGGATGCTTAGTGCCCAGCAGTGCCCACAGGATCCCATGCATAATACCTCAGTAAGTAACTGAATGGATGGGTAATGTGTGGGGATGTCTGAAAGCCCCTGTAAAATTCCGCTGTAGATTACAGTTGGTGGCTATTGTTGGCTGAGGAACAGGACTCTGGTTGGCCAATACCTGAGGTGCCAGCCTTGAGGCCTCCAAGATGTCAAAACAGCTAAATGGTGAGAGGTTTGGAAGGGCATACAGGGCTGAAGGCTGCAGAGACCTGGGTGTGGATAGAGTCACCTACCGCTTCTCATTTCCGTAGGATTTCTGAGCCACCTTGGCATGCAGGATCCACACGGTCTGCTCACATCTTTGCTGCAGGCATGCGCGCACACCTTCCCTCAGGATGGTGGCATGCTCTGGGGGTGACCTAGGAATGGGGATGGGACAACCAGCCACCGGAAGGGTCAAGGGTTGCATGGGCACAAAACTGAGGCGGGAGACTGGGGTTGATTTACATTCCCCCAGGGGTCGGGTCATGGGCCTGTATGGAGCCCACCGGGATCACCCAGGTTCTGCACTGTGTGGATGAATTCCTGGCTGTTGTAATCTGGGGCCAAGCTGCATTTGAAAGCCCTACATTTGGTCTTCAGATGGAGGTGGGCTTTGTGGAAATGGTATTTAAGCTTTCACCCCAGGAGAATAAGTAAGAAGAAACAGGCTTTCCGTCCCCAGGTCCAGGGCACAATCGCTGTTCCAGCAGGAAGATGGGTGTAGATGTGAGTGAGGCCCCAAGCCGCACTGGTAGGATGGGGATGGATCCGAGTCTTTCTGAAGCGCAAACAACACCCCTGGCTATCGCTACCGGAATTTTCCTTCTTCGAATACAGGGAATCAAGAACTGGCTTCGTAGAGTGAGCTAGGCCAGCTCTCTGGGGTCTGTTACTTGTCAGTCGGAGGGTTTAGCAGGTGAGGATGGATTCTCACAAAACTTACACAATTAAACGGAGCATGGTGGGAGATATTTGGGAAATGAGCAGGTTGGGCCCCGAAGAGAGCTAAGAACTCGGAGGCTGTCCTTTTGAGTCCTTTTGCCCTCTTAGCAGGACCAAGTCCCGGCCTTCCATCATTCCTGGAAGGGACAGCTGAGGGCAAGAACCGGGCGCGTCCTTGGAAGCCCAGCCAGGCCAGGCAGTCGACGGCCAGGACCGCTCCGCCTCTTGGGGCTCTCCTCTGGGAAGTGTCTCGTGTAGGATTCCAGAGCATTCCGGCTGCCGGGAGTGTCGCCGCCCGACTCCAGCTGTAGCCGAATTCCGCCCCGCAGCTCGAGCCTGCAGCTCGACAGTGGCAGGAGAAGGGGGCACCGCGCTTGCCCGGCCCGGGTACTCAGAGGAAGGGGGAGATCTTTCTCTGCCAGTGGGAGGGGTCGCAGCCCGCGCTCCCCCTCCCCACCCGCCCGCCCCAGGTTAAATGCAGCTGCCGCCTCGCCTCGCTCTAGCTGTCTGGCAGTCCCCACCTAGGGCAAGTTGCCCACGCCGTTACCTGGTCCAACTCCCTAGGAGGCTTGGCCCGTCGCTCTGTAGCCGCGCCTCTGAACTGTCCCCCAGGCTCAGGTGAGTCAAAGGGCCCGGGGGCACCGAGGGGTCTGCAGGGAAGCCGGTGGAAAAAACCGTGAGGGGACTGTATTTAGCCGCCTATGTGCCCACATCTAACCTGCAGTACCTTTTCCGATGCCCCTGCAGCAAGGCCGACTAAATGTAGGCCCTCATTCTCTAATCTCCTTCCTCCAGGTCCTGGCAGCTTCTCAAAGTGCCCATTCCCGGTCAATTCTTGACCTCATAGACCCCTTTCTCGGGAATGCGTTTTCCCTTCCCTAAGGGTATGGGAGAAACTTCCTCTTCAATGTAAAGTTGACTCTTTAGGTCTAGGAGAACCGGGGTTCAGTGTCAGTCTGGTGGACCACCACTTCACAGTAAGCCCTTGAGTGATGACTCCCTTGGCCCTCCCTAGACCTTTCTGGAAGAATGGCAGGTCGGGAAAGGTGAAGTTGAGATGTAGCTGTAGTTACTTTGACTTTCTAAGATTCCCGGGGTGCAGGTGAGGTGATACCAAGTACGAGCCAACTTAGGCCAAGAGCAGGATTAGAGGGATCATAGTCAAGAACCAACAGAGTCTCAAAGGCTCCGTGGCCCTTTACTCAGATGGTAACCCGGATGGTGTCTCAGCTATGGCCCACTCCAGAAAAGGCAGCCCCTTCCCTTTACCTCCACGAGCAAGCAGCTTCATAGCTCGCTAGCTCAGTCCCTCTACCACGACAGGCCCTGCCAGAGGGATTTTTGTTCTACCCTGACTGGAAAGTCAGAAGGGAGAGGAATCCCGGATGGAAAGGAAGGCAGTTTGGAGCCAGAGACACACACCGGCCTTGCTCAGAATGGGCCCATTCAAGGAACTGGGGGGCGGGGCGGCGGTGGGTTAGGGGGCGCTGGACTGCTTTGCCAAGAAACAGCGACAGAAAAATAGATTGAGCAGGCTCAGCGTCCCGTGTGGGGGTGGGGTAGGGAAAGGAAGAAAGGCTTAGTGATTCTTAGGTGCCAGGGAACCTGGCGGCTCTGAAGAAAGAGAGGGGGGCCTAGGTTTAGTTCTGTGTCTGGAACTCAGCTGGCACTCTTTTTGGGCCTCACATTTTCCATTAGTACAGTGTGTGTGTGTGTGTCTGTGTCTGTGTGTGTTGTGTGTCCCTGTGTGTGTCCGTGTATGTGTGTGTCTGTGTGTCTGTGTCCTCGTTCTCAGGGAACCTCTCTAGGCTACGCAGGAGGGTAAAGACTCACCTGTTGTCCCCATGGGGTCCATGGCTGCTAGTTGAGGCCTCAGCAGCTTTCTGGGCACGTCTAGTGCCTCTGTCTTCGGTACCCTCCACACCTCTGCACCCCTCAACCCTCTCACCCGATATATTTCGTCCAAGCCTTATCTTCAAGGTCCCGGGGCTCCCCAGCGTCCTGTTTGCTCTGGGCAGGGACACCTGCTGGGCAGATGTGTGCTTCCCACGGCCGTAGAAGCCAGACCCGGCAGGCGCCCCCTGGTGGCCTTTTCTTAGAGCAGGCGAGTAACAAAGACGCGGAGGCAGTTCTTGTTCATGGCCCACTCACTGGCTTACCACGAAGACCCCAGAACCCCAAAGGGCTTACTTTTCTCAGGGGGTCGGGGAGACAGTGGGGTTGGCTTCTTTCTGCTGAAGAAGAAAGTATGGAGCACCTTGGTTGATTCCCAGACCAGACCGACAGGACTCTATTACGGTGGAGCCACTCCTGCTGCGTGAGGCTGGCTAGCAGCATTTAAATTCTTTAAACCTTTTTCTGAAGAGGCGCAACCAAGCCAACAACTGCCTTGAGTGTCAGAACTGGGTAGAGAGTTAATGCCACATCGAATGAACTCATATAACGCTGTACCTGGTATTGAGAAAAGGCTTTTTTTGGGGGGTGGGGGGAGGATCGGCAGAATGGCTGAGTGGGTAAAGGGGCTTGCTGTTAAGACTGACCATCGGAGATCAGGACGGTCTAATCCTGGGACCCACACAATGGAAGGAGAGAGCTGGCTTCAACGAACTGCCTTTGACCTCCACATGTGTGTGTCATAGTGTGTATATGCACACACAACAAAAAAATATGTAAAACATCTTTTTATAAAGGTGTTTATCCCCTTTTGAATTTTATGTGTTTTGTCTGCTCTTTATTTACTTGATGTCCTGTAGTTCTGCAAAATGTCATTTTCTACTAAGACTCACCTGTGAGTTTCAGCAATCCCAGGGTGGCGACATTTAAAAAAAATTATTATAAAGCTTTTGTTTTGAGATAAGGTCTCACTATATAGCCCTGGCTGTCCCGGAGCTGGCCATGTTTACCAGACTGCCCTCGAACTCACAGAGATCTGTCTGCTTCTGCCTCCTGGATGTGCAGCCATGCTTGGGAAGACATTTTGAACATACACAGAAACCAAGTGCACACCCCTTGCAATGAGAACGAAGTCAGACTGTTGCTTTGGTACCTTCAGGCTTTGGCACCTTGGTTCTTCATCCTGCAAGCACCATGAGAGGCCTCCTGGGCTGGCCACTGCCTCTGTTGCTGCTCTTTCTCCAGCCCTGGGAAATCCAGCTCCAGACTGCAGGTGAGCTGGGGCCCAGCCCTCATCACGGGAGGAGGGGTGCAGAAACAGTTCCTTTATCCACTGCCAGCCAGCATTGCTGGGGGGGAGGGTAGGCAAGGACTTTGAAACGCTTTGGGCTGGCTTTGGGCTTCCCACTTGACCCCTCGTGTTGTTTCTTCACCTGGAGTATGTGGTAGAGTTTTGGGTTCATGCAGAACTGGTCATCTGGTGTTGCAGTTTATTGAAGTATATTGAAAATATTCAAAAGTCAGGCGATTTCACATAAAATCCCTATTTGAGAATTTTCTTGAAAAAAAAAAGAAAGAAAGGACCTGCTAAACATCCAGTCCATTTGGGTATATAACAATGTGTAGCGGGGACAGCCCAGGTTAGCAGGGATACAAGGGCTTGTGATGTCATAGGCATAATTGAACCAGTTCATTCATTTATGATATCTGGCTGGTTCATGAAGGCATTGGAGATTGGGACATCTCTTTGCCCACTTCTCAATCAATATATAATGCCGACTAGGAACCGTCCCCAGAACTGTATGCAGGGAACTTTGTGATTTCCTTGGTCAGTGATGAATGAGTGGCTGCATTCAAGGCATGTTTGTTAGGCTAATATGCTGGGCGCTGTTTCTTTCAGATAACAGCCTTTCTTCTGGCTTTTCCTGAGAGATCAGCATTAGTTGACCCGAGAAAGTCCTTTCCCATCTCCCCGCAGGTGCTAGGTGCTACACTGGCCCCCTGGATTTGGTGTTCGTGATTGATAGCTCTCGCAGCGTGCGCCCCTTTGAGTTTGAGACCATGCGGCAGTTTCTAGTGGGCCTCCTCCGTAACCTCGACGTGGGGCTGAACGCCACGCGTGTTGGCGTGATCCAGTATTCTAGCCAAGTACAGAGCGTGTTTCCGCTGGGCGCATTCTCGCGCCGGGAGGACATGGAGCGCGCCATCCGCGCCATAGTGCCGCTGGCGCAGGGTACCATGACCGGGCTGGCCATCCAGTATGCCATGAACGTGGCGTTCAGCGAGGCCGAAGGTGCGCGCCCGTCTGAGGAGCGAGTGCCACGCGTCTTGGTCATCGTGACCGACGGGAGACCTCAAGACCGAGTGGCCGAAGTGGCTGCGCAGGCGCGCGCCCGCGGCATTGAAATCTACGCGGTGGGAGTGCAGCGAGCAGACGTGGGCTCTCTACGCGCCATGGCTTCACCGCCCCTGGACCAGCATGTCTTCTTGGTGGAGTCCTTCGATCTCATCCAGGAGTTTGGCCTGCAGTTCCAGGGCCGGCTGTGCGGTGAGTTAGAGCATTGGGAGAACTCTGGCTTGGCGGAGGCTACATTCAAGTTTGCATCATTACAGACAATCCCTCCCAGTGGGGTGGCCCCCTAGCTTTACTCCGCCCTCCTGGTACAGTAGGGTGTTCATGTATGCAGAGGAGTGCATCACAATTCAGACTTGGTCCCACAACACCTGCAGCCAGTTATGCTGGATCAGGGACTTGCTATGTCCTTTGCGTCACACGCTGAATGTCTGACTCCAACACAAAAATGTTTTAAACAAGAATCACTGCTGGGCAATGTTTTCACTCACCTTTAATCCCAGCACCCGGGAGGCAGAGACAGGCAGATCTCTGTGAGTTCGAGGCCAACCTGGTCTACAGAAAGGGTTCCAAGACAGCCAGAGCTGTTACACAGAGAAACCCTGTCGCGAACAAACAAATTAACTAACAAAAAACAAACGGAATCATCAACCCTCCAAACTAAGAGTATTGTCTATCAGGAGTCATGCTCCGGCCACGGGAATATGGTTCCTCCCACTCTAAGCCCTCCCCCATTCCTCCCACTTCCCGTTTACAAAAGCTATGAGAACTCTTTTAGTCACTTTTGTGGGGTGTGTGTGTTGGGTGGGGGAAGATGACGACAAGATTTCTTGTAACCTAGACTGGCCTTGAAATCGATTTATAGCTGAGGCTGACCTTGAATTCCAGATCCTCCTGAATCCACCTCCTAAACACTGAGATTACAGGTTTGGGGCACTAGCTTTGTGCTCACACGTTGAACTATTTCATCTCCTGTGATTTAGTATCTCTCCACCTTCCTGCACGACCAGCTTCATGTAGGGCAGTGTTTTTTTCTAAGACTATTCAAAGGTTCTTCCTTCCCCTAACCCTCTCCCTTGGACTGGCCCTTCCAAAGAACGGAACCCATAGCCTACCCAAGTTCAGACTTGTATTTACTTCAAGACCCGGCTCCCTACCATTGAGCCCTCTCCTTGGACACTTCTGCTCCCCTGTTCTCTGCTGATTTTGTCCTTGTGTGTCCTCAGGCAAGGACCTGTGTGCTGAGCAGGGACATGGCTGCCAACACCAGTGTGTCAATGCTGCAGGGACCTTCTACTGCACCTGCAACTCTGGCTACAAGCTGGCCCCAGATAACAAGAAGTGTTTGGGTGAGCACTGCCCCATCCTGAAGTCTCATTGTTCCTGAACCTTCTTTGCCTTCCCAGCATCACAACAACGATTTTGGCAAGTCCTTTGGAAGTAGAAGCATGCCCCCTTTTTCTTACAAACCATAGAAAGTGGGGATATTAATTGGGGTCACACAAGTCTATGGTGAACCAGATCTAGGAGTCTTGATCCCCCATCCAGTTAATCATTGTTTTTGTACCCTTTCTCCTCCATTTGGTGCCTACCTGTCTCCAATCCACCTCCCAGACTTGTTTCTTCTGTCTCCTCCAAGACCAACCCTTCAAGTTTGTCACTTAGACACCGCTGGGATATCTTCAGCTACGCAGCCCTCTCAACTCTCCACCCTGAATGTTCTTCATTTTTACCTCTGCACCTCAGCTCTCTCTCTGTGGTGCCTCTTCTCCTCTCTGTCAATCTATTTTTTAATTTAATTATTTGTGGGGTTTTTTTTTGAGACAGGGTTTCTCTGTAGCTTTGGAGCCTGTCCTGGAACTAGCTCTTGTAGACCAGTCTGGCCTCAAACTCAAAGAGATCCTCCTGCCCCTGCCTTCTGAATACTGGGATTAAAGGCGTGAGCCACCTTTGCCTGGCTATTTTTTTACTTTAATTCTGAAAAGCTATGATGTGTGATACCTTGCTTAGATGATTTTTTTTCTTTTTGGTGAGTATATGGCTTTTAAAAAACAAACATATATGACTATTTGGGTTTTTCTTTGTGGTGAGCATATTTTGGTGAGTATATTCCTGTGACTGTGTTTTCTAGCACTCATTTATGCCAGTTATATCAGACCTTATGTTAGGAGACTTCCATACATTCACAGCAACTAATTCCACAGTTTTAGCTTCACAATCTGGAAAAAGAGGTCATGTGACCCCCAATAACTCAGATACCACCTGGGTCTTCTTCTGTTTAGAAACTTGGAAAGGTTTTAGGGGGCTGCCTCTGCCTTCTGAGTGCTTGAATTAAAGGCATGCACCACCACTGCCCGGCTTCTCTTTCTTTTTTTGAGACAAGTCCTCTTAGTGAAGATAGAGCTCACCATTGGCTAGTACGGTTTGCCGGTGGTCTCTGGAGATCTATCTGCCTGTCTCTGTCCATCTCAGAGCTAGGGTTACAGCAACCATACCCAGCTTTCGTGTGGATGCTGGGGATCCAAACCCAGGTCCTCACGCTTGTGCGGCAGACACTTCACAGACCACGCCATCTCCTTGAGCCTCAGCCCCAAGCTTTGTTAAAGAACTCCTCAGAGGGTTGTGTGGCCAGGCTGTGAACAGCTCTGAGCGAGCAAAGGCTGACTCCATCATTCTTCGCAGCCCTGGACCTCTGTGCTGAAGGGAC